CTGGAGAGGGGCCAGACCTCAAGCCTCCTCTTCTGGGGCCTCTGTGTCCCTGGCAACAAAGCTAAGGCCAAAGGTTGCACAATAGTCAATTCTGCTATAGCTTGGAAACCTGCCTCCCATCCCCAACTCACTCCAGGGGCCATCTGGCAAATGGGGAAGAGGCTATTAGATAGTTAAGGAATGGGAACTCCCAGGTAGACCTATCTAGCTCCCACTGCTCCTCCTCTGGCCCCGAAGAGGAAGGGTTAATCTGCTGTCTCTCTCTCTCTCTCCCTCCCTACCCTTCCCTCAGGTCACCTTCTTGGCCCTGGAGACTAGGCCTGAGGCTCAAGTTCCTCAACCAGTGGCCCTGGGTAATCAGAGCATAGAGGGGCCAGCGGACTGGGGGAAGAGGGCACCTCAGAGATAGAGGGATTAGGAATCTGCAAGGCTGAGGGTTTGTAGGTTGTTTCCCAAAACTCCCTACCTGACCCAAGACCCTCTATCTCTGCATTGATCTCAATTTTTTCCATGCACTAGAGAACTCCTGGAACCCCTCTTCTGTACTGTTTTGGGGTGGGCAAGCTGGGAATATAGTGATGATCTGCCAGCAAGCTTTTCAGCTGCAAGAGAGAGGACACCTTCCTCCAGTGCCGGGAAGTGGCCACAAATGAGTCTGTGGTCAGGGAGAGACTTCTGCTAATGGAACCTGAGTTAGCCCCACAATCCACAAAATGGAGTAGGAGAAGGAAAGGGACCTAAGTGCAATTCAGCATGGGGGAGGGGTGCTGGCCTAAAGTAGAGCTGGAGGTCAAGGGATAAAGGGGGTCCAGTACTAGCTGGAGGGAATTTGGGGTTAAGGGGGTGATGACAGGGAAATTTGGGGCTTGGGAATAAGTAAACTGGGATCAGGACAGTGACTGGAAGGTAACTGAGGATCAAAGGATTGATTAGAGAGGAACTGGGGTTTAAGGGTAGATTGAGACAATAGGGGATCAATGAAATGGGGGGAAATTATGGGTCAAAGGGAATTAGAGAGGAAGTAGAAGTCTGAGAGAATATCTACAGAGCATGAGAAGCTTGGATATTCCAGAGGAATAACTGGACTTGGGACAATAAGGGAGAGAGCCGGAATTGGAATGGGGAAAGTGAGAGACATGCTGGGGAATAGACTGGAGGGTGAGAGAGCATGCATGTGTGTCCTGAGGGAGGGTGGGGACTGTTACCAGCTGAGATCATCCTGCAGTGGGAACAAAGGACTGTGCTGGGTCCCACCTCACCTGGGGAGGGGATATCAAGAGCTCCAGCCCTAGGCTTTTCCAGGGTTTCCACTCTGTCTTAACCCTCTAGGTCCTGCTGGAGCCAGTGACAGGAAAGGGGCTCGTGCTCCCCTCCTGTCTATCAGCCTTCCTTTCTCACTGCCATCAATTATTCATTAGCCTTCCCTGGTTGGGCAAGCTGGTCCTCCTCTCCATGCCCCGCCCAGCTTAGCTACACTGCCACAGAGGCCCCAGTGAGAAAGGACAGCCAGCCAGGCAGTGCAGAACTAGCTGAAGGACTAAGTGGCTGGCCCCTCCGGACCCTGCCTGGGGTCATATCTCCTTTCCTCTGGCACCTCCCTCTTTCCTTCTGCCAATCCTCTGGTGTCAGAAAGTCCCTGGAGAAGATGCCAATCCAGATCTTCTGCTCTGTGTCATTCTCCTCTGGAGAGGAAGTCCCAGGGTCCTTGGGAGATGTCTGGGGTCCCCATCATCACCACCAGCAACAGCGGAACAGCTCAGAATCCGAAGAGGAGAAAGAGAAGGAAAAGGATGCATCAAGGAAGGAGGCCATCAAGGGGGATTCACCCGTGGATTTGGTGGCTTTTGCCAATAGCTGCACCCTCCATGGTGCCAGCCATGTCTTTGTGGAAGGGGGTCCAGGGCCAAGGCAGGCTTTGTGGGCTGTGGCCTTTGTCCTGGCATTGGGTGCCTTCCTGTGCCAGGTAGGGGACCGTGTTGCTTATTACCTCAGCTACCCTCATGTGACCCTGCTAGACGAAGTGGCCACCACAGAGCTGGCCTTCCCAGCCGTCACCCTCTGCAACACCAATGCTGTGCGGCTGTCCCAGCTCAGCTATCCTGACTTGCTCTACCTGGCCCCCATGCTGGGGCTGGATGAAAGTGATGATCCTGGGGTGCCCCTTGCTCCACCTGGGCCAGAGGCTTTTTCTGAGGAGCCCTTTAATCTTCACCGTTTCTACAATCGCTCCTGCCACCGGCTGGAGGACATGCTGCTCTATTGCTCCTACCGCGGGGGGCCCTGTGGCCCTCACAACTTCTCCGTGGTGAGTGGGGGTCCATGCCTAGCATAACACCCTGAGATTGTCTGCTATGGCTCTCCTTGACTGTCACCTCCTGGGGCTGAGGCTGGTATCTGTGCAGTGCTCCCATCTGGGCCAGAGCTCACTTGGGAGTCCAGGGTCTGGAACTGGAAATATTCCCAGGTCCACACCAGTACTGCTCTTCCTGTTAGAATCTTGAAATATATTTGTCCTAGTCAGTAATTAGCTGGTGCCCTGAGGCCCCTGATATTTTCCTGAATATCCTCCAGCCTCACTTGCCCTTCCCCAGACCCCTTCATGGTCTAGCAGTGCCCAGACCTTGCTCTGTGAGGACAACATTTGATCTGTTGGTGGGTGGCTATATCTAGATATTTTGATTATCACCCCTGGACTTATGCTGGGGAAGGAGCCACCTGACCTCTGGAGGTGCAGAAGTGGGTGGTAAGGAGTTGGTAGAGGGGTGGAGGCAGCCCCCATCTCCACCCGCTGAACCACTTGTCAGCATCTTCCTCCTTAATTGCATCCTTACTTGGTCTTCTGTGCTTCTATGGAAGCCCATCCTCCACCCACTGTGTGTGTGTGTGTGTGTGTGTGTGTGTCAGAGAGAGAGAGAGAGAGAGAGAGAGAGAGAGAGAGAGAATAACAGGTCACCTCTAAATTAAACCCCTTCCTCTCTGTTCTAAGTGGCAGGGACGTTCTTCCCAGAAGAAGCCCTCACTGAGAGTTAGCTTCCCCCTTGGACCTCCCACCCAGAAGTCTGGGGCCTTCCCTGATGAGGGACCACCTGCCACACTGCCATTTCTGCCCTCTGACTCTCCAGCCATCTTCCAGTTCTTTCTGACTTAACTCTTCTCTGGCTTCTCCAGGTTACAGATAAGATACCTGGCTTTTCCTCCCCCACACTCTTATCCCTGATTCCCCACCTCCTCCCTAGTGTAAGAGCAGGTGGGTGCCATCTCAGACTATGTAATGACTGAACACACATAGAGGACCTTGATGTTTTGGCCACTTGACCTCAGGAAGTCCAGGAGATACAGGACTGGGACAAGAAAAGAGTCAACCTCTCTCCTGGGAGCCCAGGGGTAGAGCAGACACTTCTTATCCAAAACCACCAGGTGGCAGCAGGGATCCATTGCTCTGTAACCCTGCCCTCTCAGCCAGGCAAGGTTGGGGCTCCCAAGTGACCTCAATCAAGGTATGTGCATGTGTGTCCAGCTAAGAGCTTGTAGCTTCGTGTCACAAGAGCTGGTGGCAGAGTTGGGGAATGAGGAGCCCTCATAATTCTCTCTGTGCTTTATCATTAGATCTCACCCACAAAATGGGGGAGAGCAACATGTTCTCTCTTCTGGAAGAGGTGACAGAGGCTATATGAGGAAGGGGCAAAGACTATTTTCTAGTGACCCCCACTAGACCTGCTGCTGGAATCTGGCCTGACACTCTTGTCTCCCCCTTCTCGGGCCTTCTCTGAATCTTTGTGACTCACTTTGTGGACTCTGTCACCATCCAGCAGTAGTAAAAGAACACCCATCCAATTTATGGTAACATTCAGGGAGGCCACTCTACTTTCCACATCTGTGTAATCAGAGGTATGAAAAAGGTTGTAAGGGGATGAGGAGTCAGGAGCTCCCAGGGCTGAGATTTCTTCTAAGGCCCTCATAGCTCTATAAGAGCATTGCCAATATGCCATGCCTTGGGGCTTAGTCCTGAGTGCTGGGTGACCATGGTCCTTAGCATGGTAACTGGGGCTTTCAGGTTCTAATGATAATAAATAGGACAGTGATGGACATAGGGGGCTGATGGCTAGAGGAAACAGAAAAGCTTTGGTTTGGGGGTCTTGGGTTTGGGGGCATGTCTTGGGGAGAACAGGATTTCTAATGTCTGGGGTGAAATCCAGAAGAAAAGAAGATCTATCTCAGAAGGCCCTAAGGATCTGGCAATGAGAAGATCCTGGTGATGGAGGTGTACATGGCAGAATCCTAACCAGAAAAAAAATTGCCACTTGATGGTTCAAGTGCTACACATTGAAAAGACTTTAATAAAGAGACTGTTTATGGAGCTGTGGGAAGGATTAAGAAAACCAATAAGGTTGGGGATATAGCTCAGTTGGTAGAGTGCTTGCCTCTCATGCACAAAGCCCTGGGTTCAATCCCCAGCACCACACACACACACGCACATGCACAAACATACACAGAGGAAAAGAAAGAAAGAAAACCAATAAGAGGGCTGAGGCAGCTACCAATAGTGGGAAGTTGTTATCACTTCTAGGCTAAAGGGCCATAAAAGGAAACAGTTCCATCCTTCCTTGCAGGATTTATAGTCACGGAAGGTCTAAGCCACTGGAAGCATTACAGAGGGGTGAGGGATGGGGAAAGATCAGTACCCCAGTCCTCTCTCCTCCTGCCTTCTTCTTATCCCTTACTTGTGGTTCTCATTGACCAAGCCTAACTGAAGCCCATTCAGGTGGAAAAGGAGCTCAGGCCATGTACCCCACAAAGGTTAGCTTCCCACTGCACAGAGCAGGGAAAAGAAGGGTGGAGAATAGATGGCAGAAGGGGACAAATGGAGAATGGGCTACATAGGAGGAACTGTTCCTGGAGGGTGTTGGGATTCCAGCTGGGATGGGGGTTGTTTGGGGACACTCCTCAGTTGGTAGTAGGTACTGGCAGGACTCTCAGACTCTCTATTCTCCCCCCACCAGGTCTTCACACGGTATGGAAAGTGCTACACATTCAACTCGGGTAGAGATGGGCGGCCCCGGCTGAAGACCATGAAGGGTGGGACAGGCAATGGGCTAGAGATCATGCTGGACATCCAGCAGGACGAGTACTTACCTGTATGGGGAGAGACTGGTATGTTGCACCCCTCATATTCCCCATACTTCCTGGCCCCAGCCTCCACTAGGGCGCAGGGCACAGGCTCCTTCCCCTTCCTCCAAGGATCTCACCATCTGTATCTCTGACTTTACCTGACATCCCACACTCACATTTCCCTCGCTCCCCCTTCCTGGCTCAGTTACTCTCCAAGGTAACCAGCCATCCTCTTCCATCAGCGGCCGCCACTCACTCTATAAATAACTCCCTCTCTTCTTGGGCTGCCTGCTTGTCTGGTCTCAGGGGGCCGTGGGGCAGAGAGAGATGGGGAGAAGGGAAAAAAGGGAGGAGGAGAAATGAAGAGTATCTGAAACAGTGACATTTTAGGAAAAAGAATGTGAAACACCAAGATGTATAGCAAACACCAGGTAAGAAAAGAAGCATGTAGGAGGCGGGGGTCATTGCAACAGCATGGAGCTGGTAAACCCGGAAAGCAGCTAGGGGTAGCCTAGGACCCCATAGAGAGCTTACCTACCAAATAGACACTGTGCTTATTCCCAGGAGAGGCAGGATGTCCTCAGCTCTGAAGGGGATAGGAACTCAGAAGCCCTCTCAACTCACATACCCCTCATTCCCATAGACGAGACATCCTTTGAAGCGGGAATCAAAGTACAGATACACAGTCAGGATGAACCTCCTTTCATCGACCAGCTGGGCTTTGGTGTGGCCCCAGGCTTCCAGACCTTTGTGGCCTGCCAGGAGCAGCGGGTGAGAGAGCCATTGAAGGCTGGTCCTAGGGTGGGGTGTTGAGGGGTCAAGATGGAGTGGTGGTGGTCAATAATGGGAGGAACAGGTGAGGCAGGACCTTTATGGTAATTGGGATAGTTAGAAACATGAATGATCTAATGAATGGGTATATTCTACAAACTGCAAAACTTCATGGGCTGCGGAGGGAGAGGGGCAGAACTCCTGAGTTCTGCATCTTGTCAAAGAAGTACAAGGTGACTCAGGGAGAAGTCATCACATTCCCCCAGCTCCCCGGCTCTCCCAGCAGCTCATCTACCTGCCCCCACCCTGGGGCACCTGCAAAGCTGTTACCATGGACTCGGATTTCTTCGACTCCTACAGCATCACTGCCTGCCGCATTGACTGTGAGACACGTTATCTGGTGGAAAACTGCAACTGCCGCATGGTACACATGCCAGGTCAGGCACCAAGTCTTCAAGCACAATCCTGGGGGCTTGCCCCTCACCTGCTCCCCATCTATATCAATCTCTCTAGCCTACTGCATTCTTTGCCCTCTAGCTCTTATCTCTCCAATCTCAGTTCCAGCCTTTTCCAAAAAAAGTGGGTGAAAGGGTCTAGGAAGGATGGACTATCATGGAGGGTCATTTCCAGGTCACACTGGGGACTGGCTAATCCTACTGTCCCATCCTATCCATCTTCCACCTTATATGCCACTACCATCTCATGCCCCCTAATCTCCATCCTGCCCACTGTCTTCTCTTCTCTGTAGGGGATGCACCATACTGCACTCCAGAGCAGTATAAGGAGTGTGCAGATCCTGCCCTGGGTGAGTGCCCCTACCCTGGGGTAGTCACAGAAAGGGAAGGAGGTGCTGCCAGCCATATGCACAGGGTTTTCAGACCAAACTCCAGAAGCTTCCAGTAACTACTGCACCACGTTGCACCCTTACATGTATCTGATTTTAAAGCTAAGAATAGTATCTTCAGAAACCCCTATGAAAAACAAATGGAGATCACCTGGGAGGGGCCTTTACATTCTTTCATCAGCACTTCAGCTGGTTGACCCTAAAGGGCCCTCATGGAATGACATATAGGATTTAGAAATACTCATGCAAAGGCTGGGTGAGGATCATCAGCACAGAGCAGTCACAAAACCAAGGTGAAGAGCAGATCAGGAAAAGGGGGGTGGGTGGCAGGGTTCCTTTGGGCAGGACCAGGATGTTCATGCTGGGAAACTCAATCAATGCCTCTCACCTGGCTGGGTACAGACTTCCTGGTGGAGAAGGACCAGGAGTACTGCGTATGTGAAATGCCCTGCAACCTGACCCGATATGGCAAGGAGCTGTCCATGGTTAAGATCCCCAGCAAAGCCTCAGCCAAGTACCTGGCCAAGAAGTTCAACAAGTCTGAACAGTACATAGGGTAAGGGATCTACTGTACAGGGAAAGGCTCTTGGGCAGGGACTGTGGAAGGTAAGAGTGGGCTTTGATGGGGGACCAGCAGGCAAGAAGGAGCTAAGATAATCTGAGGATGGTCCAAGAGTTATCAGAGTATGAGAGTGAGAGTGTGGAGTGGAGATGGAGGGAAGATCAAGCCAGAATAAGCAATGGAAACACCCCTTTTTCCTCCCTCCTTGTTTTATCCTCTGTATTCATCCTCATTTCTGTAACTAAGATCATATCACACTTGCCAGTACATAGAGCATCTTTTCTTATATGCCATTTAATTTAATCCTCATAATAATTACAAAAGGCAGGTATCTCCATCAGCATCTCATCTTATGGACATGGAAACAGGTTTGGAGAGGGTAACTTGTAAGGTTTCCTAGCTAGTAAAGGGTAGAGATATGACTTAGGTCTTCTCCCCCAATCTTTATGCAGGGAGAACATCCTCGTGTTGGACATTTTCTTTGAAGTCCTCAACTATGAGACCATTGAGCAGAAGAAGGCCTATGAGATTGCAGGGCTCCTGGGTGAGCTGCTCATGATACCTGTCCCCTTCCCATACCACAGGCATGGCGTGGCTCCCTACTACTCAAAGCAGGGTGCTAACTCATCCCATCTTCAGGTGCTTTTCCCCAAACCCTGTTGTCTTGATATGTAGTGGGGGAAGGTAGTTGAGCCTTCTCTTAGGGCAAAGTGGAAAAGACAAGCCCGTGGGTATAAGGGAGGGGTAGGGGTGGAGGTGCAAACTATTTCATATGCCTCTGAAGTTGATCCAGACACTAAGAGTGTTGGTGTGTTTTTGTAAACAATTCTTTTTCCTGAATAATACCTGTTTATATTAGAAAAGTAGGAAAAGACAGAAAAGCATGGAGAAGAAAATAAAAATCCTGCCAGAATATGGCTTTGTGATCCTTCTGCATGAAGGCTGCCACTCCCTTTGAGAATATGGCTGGCCTGCCCCACTCCAAGCCCTACTGCCCTCACCAAGTCCTGACTCTCTGACCCCGCTCCTACTCCCTTCCTACTCCACCACCCCACCCCGCAGGTGACATCGGGGGTCAGATGGGGCTTTTCATCGGGGCCAGCATCCTCACGGTGCTGGAGCTCTTTGACTACGCCTATGAGGTAAGGGGGCGGGGTAGGGTGGGAGCCAGGCGAGAGGCGGGGTTCCAGCCCGCCCACCCCACCCCACCCCTCGTAGGTTATAAAGCACAAATTGTGCCGAAGAGGGAAGTGCCAGAAGGAGGCCAAGAGGAGCAGTGCAGACAAGGGCGTGGCCCTCAGCCTGGATGACGTCAAAAGACACGTGAGGAGCGAGCAAGGAGGCGCCCTCCAGGCCTTCCCTTCCCCCACCGCCCAGAGCCATCACCCCTCCTTTGCCTCCACAGCACCTGTAGCAACTTATGGCCCTTCCCGTAACCACTTCCTGTTTTGCCCCTTTCCCTAGAACCCGTGCGAGAGCCTCCGGGGCCACCCTGCCGGGATGACTTACGCTGCCAACATCCTACCTCACCATCCGGCCCGAGGCACGTTTGAGGACTTTACCTGCTGAGCGCAGGCCACTCTACCAAACGCCTAGGCGGGGAGGGCTAGGAGAGCAAGGGGCCCCCTAGCTGCCTCCGCATCTGTCCTGGAGACTCACCCACACTTCTGGGGCAGTCCTTTCCTCTTGTCTCTGATGAGGAAGGGTGTTGACTATAGCGTCCTCTCCCTGCCTCTTATCCCATTCTTTTTATTTTAACAAAATTAAACTAATCTAAAAACCTGAGAGAAAGGGGCAAAGGACCTTGGGCTGCCCCCTCTCTGCTCCATGCTGCCTCCCCTAGCTCCCAGCCTAAATTCTTGTCTGTCTGGCTGTCTGTCATCCTGAGTGTCTGCCTACATTCTGCTGCCTCCAGTCACCAAAGCCCCCTCCTATTGAGGGGTGGAGGGGATCCTTGGGGTCTGGAATTTGGCCCCAAATCAGAGAATGTACTTAAGGGGAAGGGCTAATGGGAGGGCTTCCCCAGCCTTAAGAGACCCTCTCAGCCCAGTTATTCCCCGAGTTTCCAGGCAGGAACTAGAACCCCAGCCTCACTCCCTCACATAATATGGAATCTCTAGCAGGTGGGGGATCCCCTAAAGAAGTGGAGATGGGGACAAGATGTGGCCCTGGTGCTGTAGGCCACATCCTGATACTTACAAGTTCAACCCCACCCCAAAGCTGCTGGAGAGAAATCCCAAGAGGTAGCCTTCCTCTACATCCCATAGAAGACCTGGCTGGTTAGCTTCCAGCTCAGGGAGAGGGGCACTGGTGCCTGACCTCACTGGTCCCTCTCCCAGAGGCCCTTGCAGAGGGCCACATCCATAAATTTTCTTATGGAACTCTCCCAAGTCCTCTGCCCCAGCTTCATTTGCTTCTTTCAACAACCTCATCTGCATTTTCTATTTCTATATGATACAGACTCTATATTGCTAAATCTCTGTATATACTTTCCTCTAACCCTGTCTGTCTTCACCCATTCCCTCTTGTCTCTTGAGATCCATCCTCCTACCCAAAGTTCCCCCTTCTGTGTTTATCCCCCCCTTCCCAGTCTTTGAATGCCTTCGCCTGTATAAAGAGTTGGACTCTCTCCCCCGGTGTCTGTACTGTGTACACACATCCCTCTGAGAAGCACAAGGAGACGACACGCGCATTGTAACCTTCGCTCTGTCTCGGTGGCGACATAAAGGAAGCTGTGAATCACAAGCTCTGCCTCGTTCTGGCCTCACCCTTTCCCCCCAACCTGGGCACCCTCTGCCCTCCCTGTAGCCTTAACATTCCCTTCCCCTGCTCCACCTATCCCAATGCCCTTTGCTTGACTGACTGTGGCCTCCCCAGGCAAGAGGTTGCTACAGAGGTAGCCTCCACCCAGGGAATGGAGAGCTGGGCTGGATATTAAGCCAACAGTGTCAGACACAGAGGGAGGTGGGGATTGGTGACTCCCACAGCTGGGGCAGTGGATGTCCACAGGTAGAAAAGCTGAGGTCCTCGGTCAGTGACCCAGTCCTGTTCCCTCACCTTATGCCCAAGCCAACCACCTACATTTTCTGATGAGGCAGGGTTTGGTAGTGGGAGGAAAGAGGCAGGCCTAGAAGAGAATTTGAAAGCTCTGCTCTTCTGTCCCTCCCTACCTTAATGAGAGACAAGTGAGGTAAAGGGCCTGCCCCTACCCCCTCAACCAGGCACTCCTTCTAGGCCAGAGCACCAACCCATTTCCAGGCCTTCTCTGCCCAGCTGTCTCTTGGTCTCCAATCCCAGAACAAGATCTGTGTGCAGGTCACCTGTGCATTGGCCTGGAGCTGGAGTGTTTCTTAGAGATTTGACCTGCCCGGAGGGAAGCAGTAGCAAGGCCAAGAAGTGTACACTGGATTAGGGGAACAGCAGGCAGGGCTGGGTGACGCATGCCTCTGGTCTAATAAACTGGGTTTCAACCATGTCCTCTTCAGTGTTGTTCTTTTTGTTGAAAGAATTTAGGTATTCCCGTTAAGTGTCTAGACCTGAACTTGGCATGTGGTCACACAATCAGGGGAGGAGTAAGGAGTTTTGAATAGGGAGACAGGCTAATCATCACACCAGGAATGGTTTAAATCACTAAGCAGGGAAAAAGGGAGGGAACCAAAAGCAATTAATTTCCCAAACAGAAGTCCCAATACAAAGGATTCTTTGGTGCGAGGGCAGGGCCAAAATTCAAGATAAGCTGGAACTTAAAATCTGGAAGCAGGTTAGGTTAAAGGTTTAGGTTGAAGTTTCCACTTGAGGTAGTTACTGAGGAATAAGTCCCGCGCTATGAACCAGAAGACTTGTAATTTAGGATTTGCCGTCAGTGCCAATTTAACTGGTACGTCTTTGCCAAGCCACTTATCTCCTTTGAGTTTAGCTTTCCCGATTGTAAAACGGAATAAACAGTGTGCCCCGCTCCTCAAACACCCAGGGTTATAGAAGTTCGAGAATGAAACGAAAAATAATTAACGCGCCTTGAAAAGTTTAATGTACTGCGCCAACATGATGCGATTACTCCAAACTCAGAGGGCTGGAATCAGGGTTGGGGCTGGGGCGGGAACTGTGGTCCCTTCCCAGAGCCTAGGCTTCCTCCCGTCGGCCTGGTGGCGCCCGCTCGCGCGGCCTCTCTGTCCTACAGTTCTTCTCTATGGTTTTCCCTCCCGGACCCTGAAGGCGGGAGGGAGTGGTCAGCACGCCTTTTCCGCTAGTCGCCCCCTCTAGCCTACAGTCTCGCTGTCCCAAGCTTCCCGTGCCCGCCGGTCAGCCGGGCGCACAAACAGGCAGGCACTTGGGGGGCGCGCGGGGGGCAGGGGGAGTTCCGGTTCCGGTTCTTTGTGCGGCTGCAGCGGCGGCTCCGGGAAGATGGCGGCCCGGGCGGGTTTCCAGTCTGTGGCTCCGAGCGGCGGCGCCGGAGCCTCCGGAGGGGCGGGTGCGGCGGCTGCTCTGGGCCCGGGCGGAACTCCGGGACCTCCGGTGCGAATGGGCCCAGCGCCGGGTCAAGGGCTGTACCGCTCCCCGATGCCCGGAGCGGCCTATCCGGTGAGTGAGGCAGGAGGAGGGGCGCACGGGCCGGGGGCGGGGCCCTGGGAGTGACAAGGGTGGGGGAGAAGTAGGAGGGACTCCCTTGGGAGGGGTTCTGTGCCCCGGGTGGGGGTTAGAGAGAGGCATTTAGCATCCCCACCTGCTCCCAGAGGCATTGTTTCCTTGAGGAGTCGGTGTAGAACCAGGGTGGGTTAAGTGGCACTTGGCATGGTTATGGAGTGCAAAGGGGCTTGAGCAGTTCCAGTGCTCACAGGAAAACCCAAGGTTTAGCTGCAAATTGAGGTCAGCACCTAAGGAGATAGCAGAGAAAATATGGAATTAGAGGAGATGTGGGAAGAGTCAGATCCAATATAACCTGGGGATAATTTGAATATAATCATATGATATGTTAGCCTTTGGGTCCTGTTTTTCTATGAAATCACTACTAGAACAGAAGAAGCTCCAGATATCTATATTCCAAAGAGGCAGAGAACTCTTCTCTCATTGACCTGGAACCTCCCTATCTTGTTTCATTCAAAGAACTCAGATGTCCCCCACTTTTTTTTATGGGGTTAGCTAGGGAAGCCATTACATCTTTGGGTTCTCTCTCTATTTTTATAGAGACCAGGTATGCTGCCAGGCAGCCGAATGACACCTCAGGGACCTTCCATGGGACCTCCTGGCTATGGGGGAAACCCTTCTGTCCGACCTGGCCTGGCCCAGTCAGGGATGGACCAGTCCCGCAAGAGACCTGCACCTCAGCAGATCCAGCAGGTCCAACAGCAGGCGGTCCAAAATCGAAACCACAAGTAAGATGACTTGGGGAAGGGGGAAGGGAATCTATGAGAGTAGAAGTGGTAAATCAAGAAGTGGTGGTGCCGAGTCAGCAGATGTTGTTATGGGGGCTCATCCTTGAGAATGCCTCATGGTTGTGGTGGTGATGGAGTTGATGGTGTCGGGGGAGAGGGTTTTCTTTGATTTGAGACTTTGCAGGCCCTTACTTTATTATAAATGGAAGTGCTGACAGCTTATCTTCATGTTCTGACTAGTTCTATTCCAACCTGATAACAGTATTTATTCCAAACAGTGCAAAGAAAAAGAAGATGGCTGACAAAATTCTACCTCAAAGGGTGAGTCCAAGCTGTAGATTTTCCTGAAGATGTGGTGAGTCTGAGAATAGAGATGGTCAGCTCTAGATCCCAATTATATCTTTTCTGTTTCTAAGATTCGTGAACTGGTACCAGAATCCCAGGCCTATATGGATCTTTTGGCTTTTGAAAGGAAACTGGACCAGACTATCATGAGGAAACGGCTAGATATCCAGGAGGCCTTGAAACGTCCCATCAAGGTAACACAGGACAGCATTAGGCAGAGAGCCAAAGGAGAGGACTTGGGAACCTTCACCAGGCTTAAGATGAGAAATCAAAGGCACAGCACAGCTCTCCTTGGCATTTAAATTGCATCTTTCCCTTCCGCCTACAAACCAAGAATTTCATTAGGAGCATTTAGGAACATAAGAACAGCCAAGGGGGAGGGGCTTTTGATGTCTCTTGCATTAGAAATATACCCTGTCCATGTTTTTGCTGTAATGGCTCTGCTACCTTGGGAACCTGGCAACTTGCATGACTCTCCACCTGGCATTATGGTGTATGCACTTGTACTTAGATCAGTGGCCTGTGCTCCTCTTCTAAATGGAATCTTCATCTACCGACTGGAGGGACTGGGTAGACAGTAAGCCAGTCTGTTAGGATTAATTTTGGGGTTTGGGGAGACCCTTGTCTTCAACATCAAACCACTGAAGCCCCACCATCAATCCTGTTTCTGCCTTCCTCAGCAAAAACGGAAGCTGCGAATTTTCATTTCTAACACTTTCAATCCGGCTAAGTCAGATGCCGAGGATGGGGAAGGGACGGTGGCTTCCTGGGAGCTTCGGGTAGAAGGACGGCTCCTGGAGGATGTGAGTTAAAGGTCCACTGTGGTCGGCATCCAGGGTGGGAGCTGCTGGGAATGAGCAGTGTTGTCCAATCAGCAGGAAGCCTAACTGGGAGCATCAGAGAGAGGGAGACTTTTCCCTGTACAGAAAGACAGTAGTCCTTTGTATCTGCTTCCACAGCATTGACCCTCACTGGTATCATATTGTCCTGGGATCTGATTTGTTGTGTACCTTTCTCCTGGTGCTGCTGGTCTTTGAATTTAACAATATCTTAAGATTAGTTTGTTTTTGTTTTTGTTTTTTTAAATCAAGTGAGTTTGTGCTTAGCATTTGAGGCCATGTTTCCTCTTGGAGTCCTTATGGTCCTTGATTCCCATTGTGGTATCTCCATCTTCATTGGAGATACCCCTGGTTTAAGTGTAATAGATTCCTCCAGCAGGCTCTTTGTGGCTTCACAGGGAACATCAGCTGACAGGTGATAGCCTCCAAACTTCCCACACCAGCAGCTCTTTGGGGAAACTCACCTTTTTCTCATTCCTTACACTCTCTGGCTCTCTATTTTTAGCTGCTTGCAGGCAAGCTAATTTGAATGCATTTTTGCAGGAGAACCAGGGTTCAGTGTTGTAGAGTCTTCTCTTCTATATAGGTCCAGTCCATCTGCTGATTGTGTTGTTCTGTCCAAATAAAGCTGTTTTTGTTCTGGCTGCTTATTCCCTGTGATTCATTTCCTCTCTACAGTCAGACTATTTTCTATTCAAACTTGCTTTGTTATGTGCAGAAGTTTGGCTTAACTTGCCTCATTTCCCAAAGGGAAATGAGGTGGGTAAGTCAATGATCCTGTCCGTGTAATAGGCTGCTTCTTCAGGGTTCTGTTGCTACCAGGACTTGTTTAATACCCACAGATTCTTTGCCATCTCTTAAGAGATATTCAGAAGGCATTTTTTAGTTGTTGTTGTTTTTTTTTTCCCCATTGCTGTTGTGGACTCTTTTTAAAAAATATTGTTGTGGGAAATTTATTCTAGCCTTTTCTAACATGACCGTTTCTTTTTCTTCTAGTCAGCCTTGTCCAAATATGATGCCACAAAACAAAAGAGGAAATTTTCTTCCTTTTTTAAGTCCTTAGTGATCGAATTGGACAAAGACTTGTATGGGCCAGACAACCATCTGGTAGAAGTGAGTAGTTCTGCTTTCTAGATTTTGACTCTTTATGACTGGAGTATGATGGACTTGGGAGCCAAACTTTAACCTCTAG